AGTTATCCTGGGTATAATCACAGAAGGTAATTTATCCTCTTGTTATAATGCAGGACATCATACACGTAATAACCCTATACAAAAATAACAGTGAATGAAAGAGGTCTTGTGTTGTATAGTTTAACCTGAGGAGTTCAGAAGAGGTAGTTATTACCCCCCTTACGTTTTAACAAGTCCACAAAGTCTCTGTAAGATAAAGGAGTTTAACATAAAGACCTGTGGGTATGTGCATCTAACAAAAAAGTAACAACTTTACTAGTAGTTAACTAATACGTATTTATTATTGTTTTTATTAAGTATAAAAAAGCAATTAGAAATACGTTATTGAATAAACAAATCATAATGTTTTGAGATAGAAAATGGAAACAGACCATGAAGATGCCCGTCTGAAATATGTCAATATTAATAATAATAATAATAATAATAATAATAATAATATTATTATTATTATTATTATTATTATTATTATTATTATTATTATTATTCTTTCTTTCAACACACCGGCCGTATCCCACCGAGGCGGGGTGGCCCAAAAGGAAAAACGAAAGTTTCTCCTTTTACATTTAGTAATATATACAGGAGAAGAGGTTACTAGCCCCCTGCTCCTGGCATTTTAGTCGCCTCTTACAACACGCATGGCTTACGGAGGAAGAATTCTGTTCCACTTCCCCATGGAGATATGCGCTAAAAATATGTCAATATTATTATTACTACAGTCGGAAGTAAGAGCTAAAAATGTGTCACTAGAAATCCTCTTACGTGGTTCTGCCTCTGACACTGAGGTGGGACATTTCTCTCACCGGCTATGTACTTGGTGTGTCCTGACTTCCCTGCTCACCCACTAGTGCAGTGGTTCCCAAACTTTTTCAGCTTGTTACCCAATTTAACATGCCACATAAAGCATGTTACCCCTTTCACAAAATGTTGTTATTATTGATATATATGGCTAAATTAAAACACTTGAGATATTTTCTTTTATTTATTGTATTTGAACATTGTGCATCTCTAATGACTATTACCAAAGATGTCAAGAACATCAGTGGGATGGATGGAGTTGCATACTTGAAGCTAGTTTAGGAATTCTTGGCTTCGTGGTTGAAAGTGCCAGCCTGGCATCGTTTGCAACATTCAAGCGAGTCCTCTTTTTTGTTTTCATACCCAGCACAGTTGAGAAGCCCTTCTCGCACAGATACGTTGTTGAGAGGCAGCCTCAGGAAGTGACGCGTACTGGACAGGTCGATCTGGGCTACTGAGTGACTTTTGTCCTGAAGCATACTTGTCAAAATACTTTTGGGTTTCCACACACTTAGCTATATATTTCTTCTTTTCTAATACTGTATATTAGTTTTTGATGTTTATTGTTATTTGGTTTAACTTTATTACTTACTTATAATAGGTTTACTTTACAACTTTATATACTAAGACAAAGTTAACAATAATCCTCTTACCGGGTACCGCATTGTTTTCTTGATTTTCAGAATTCATAACTTTTTTTCTGTCACCCCTCCAATACCCCCCAAAAATGGTTAAATTACCCTCAGGGGGTAATTTACCCCCAGTTTGGGAACCACTGCACTAGTGGGTCTTACCTCAGAGTCTGAATGATTGAGTCTCTGGAGTGTCTCTGCCTCACTGCTAAACTAAAAACCTAAGATACATGTCGTACAATTTTTTTATATCATGTTCTTTCCTTATATTTAAAATTATTTCAATGTCGGTCTTTGGATCTCAAATTTTATAGAGTGGTTGGCAGAGACGTTTGTATGTGCTGTCTATATGAGCTGTCTGTATGTGCTGTCTGTATGTGCTGTCTGTATGTGCTGTCTGTATATGCTGTCTGTATGAGCTGTCTGTATGAGCTGTCTGTATGAACTGTCTGTATGAGCTGTCTGTATGTGCTGTCTGTATGTGCTGTCTGTATGTGCTGTCTGTATATGCTGTCTGTATGAGCTGTCTGTATGAGCTGTCTGTATGAACTGTCTGTATGAGCTGTCTGTATGAACTGTCTGTATGAGCTGTCTGTATGTGCTGTCTGCATGAGCTGTCTGCATGAGTTTATTATCAATATGTAATGAATGGTTTTGAAAACCGACAAGTTGAAGAATGAAATATAATGCATGAAATGCATGAAATATAATGAATAGTATTTATAATGTATCAATATAAATAAATGCCTTAATCTACTGTATTCTTGTTTATCTTCCATGTAATATTGTTGATTCTTCACATTCTGATACTAGGTGAGAGTTTATTAAGGTGGGTATACAGTGAGTCTGTTGATTCTTCACATTCTGATACTAGGTGAGAGTTTATTAAGGTGGGTATACAGTGAGTCTGTTGATTCTTCACATGCTGATACTAGGTGTGAGTTTATTAATGTGGGTATACCGTGATACTGTTGATTATTCACTCTCATGTGTGTACCTACGTATTTACACAACTGATGCTGTGGATTCTGTACTCTGGTACTTAGTGAGAATTAACTTGTGCATGCGTGCAATGATACTGTTGATTCTTCTTTCATTATCTTTGTGTACACACACGTATGTGATTGTAGGGGTCAAGTCTCATCTGCTGCCCTTGGCTCTCAACTTACCACTTGCCAGATTCACTCTCCTAGCCCCGTGAGCCCTGTCATTATCCCTAAAACTTGGCATGAAGGCTGCCTTCGCCTCGTCGAAATAATTCCACTTCCTGACCACCCTGAAACTGAAGAAATAGTTCTTGACATCCCTGAAACTCATCTGTTTCTTTAATATCCAGTTGTGTCCCTGAGTACCTGTTTCCCGCCTCACAAACAGCCTATTCCTGTCCGCTCTATCAGTTTCCCTGAATATTTCGTATGTTGTTATGTCTCCCATGGTCCTTCTGTCCTTCAGGGTTGTTAGATTCAATTCCTTTAGTCTCTCTTCATAATTCATATTTCTTAGCTCTGGAACTAGTCTCATTGCATGTTCCTGCTGGTGATGGACGTGATGGATGAAGCACCCCTAATGACTGTTGAGATTCTTGGAGGACAGTCTTAGACTTGCCAGGTGAGGGCTGGATGAAGAAGTTATTCGGCTGATGTGATAGACTAGCGATTTGGTAGGTAGTATGTTTACTCCCACATTCTTTTCTTTGAGCGATGTCTGTGGCCTCTGTCCCTATCTATACTTTATGTCTGGTCTTCTGGCCAATTCGCCAGTTTTCATAACCTGAATTTAGTGGGGTTGAAGTCAAGCAACCACTTTTCTGAGCAACCCTGCAGTTTGTCTAGACCCATTTGCAACCTTTCCCAATCCTCGTCTGTTGATATTCTCATTAGTTTTATGTCAACAGTGAACAGACATATATCAGACTTAAAATTCTATTGGGTACATCGTTCACATAAACCAGAAAGAGAATGGTTCCAATACCGAGCCTTGTGATACACTGCTTGTTACTCTTCCCCATCCTGACATATCTTTGTCGGAAAATCACTTTTTGCTTCCTTCTCCGTGATACTCTTTGATCCACAAGAGTACACATCCAGTTATTCCTGAGTGCTTCAAGTTTTTGCCCCAGTCTCATGGGGTACAGTATCAAATGCATTTACTACAGTCTTAAGACAATGCAAGCCACCCAACACCCTCTTCCCCCTCTCTGTCTCTCTGTCTTGTCTTGCTTCTGATACTTTGCCATAGGATTTCTAAAGGGTAGTAAGACAATGCTTGCCATCTCTGAACACATGATGGCTATTGATGTTGAAATTACTTCTCTCCAAGTGCTCTACCGCTCTTCTTCTGACTACTTTTTTTCATTACCTTGCATAATACATATATCAAGGAAACTGTCCTGTAGCTCACTGCCTCCTGTCTATCGCCTGTCTTAAATACAACTGCTACATTCGCTGTCTTCCAGATTTCTGGCACTTGTCCAGTGTTCATTGACTTGTAAATCATAACTAGCGGTTTATAGGGTACTTTTCCTTCACAGAATCCTTGGTGACACCCTGTGACTGGAGAGGAAATCATACTAAATCCAATGGAGTATCAATCCATTTCCTCCGATCAAGAACCGCTCTCCAGCATCAAGGTACCTCTTTTGAGAGGACATTGATACTATTGAATGTGTTTATCCACATGTGTTGAAGATTGAGACACTTATGCAGCATATGGGAATCTTTATTCAGGAAACGTTTCGCCACACAGTGGCTTCATCAGTCCAACACAAAGAGGAAGGCGTAAGGAGAGGAGGAGTATGAGGTAATCAGTCCCTCAGCCTGGAGTCGATGTGTTCAGTCCATCAGTCTTGTAGAATGTACAGCATAGGGCCGTAGACGTGGCTTATATACTGTAGTGAGGTGAGGTGAAGCAGGCGGAGGCGGGGTCATAGTGGTACCATCCACTAGTCGAAGTAGGTCTTCGTCCAAAGATTGAACAAGTGTTGAAGAATTCTTTGTAACAAGATCCCATGATGCTGCAGTGTCTGACAGTTGTGAATGGTTTGAAAAACCGACAAGTTGAAGATTGAGACACTTGTGCAGCATATGGGAATCTTCATTCAGGAAACGTTTCGCCACACAGTGGCTTCATCAGTCCAATACAAAGAGGAAGGCGTAAGGAGACGAGGAGTATGAGGTAATCAGTCCCTCAACCTGGAGTCGATGTGTTCAGTCCATCAATCTTGTAGAATGTACAGCATAGGGCCGTAGACGTGGCTTATATGCTGTTGAATTCTTCAACACTTGTTCAACCTTTGGACGAAGGCCTACTTCGACTAGTGGATGGTACCACTATGACCCCGCCTCCGCCTGCTTCACCTCACCTCACTACAGCATATAAGCCACGTCTACGGCCCTATGCTGTACATTCTGCAAGATTGATGGACTGAACACATCGACTCCAGGTTGAGGGACTGATTACCTCATACTCCTCCTCTCCTTACGCCTTCCTCTTTGTATTGGACTGATGAAGCCACTGTGTGGCGAAACGTTTCCTGAATAAAGATTCCCATATGCTGCATAAGTGTCTCAATCTTCAACTTGTCGGTTTTTCAAACCATTCACATCCACATGTGTACACATTGATACTATTATTTATTTTCACACACATACCGAGTGTTTATGTCATATTTTCCAGTTATTGGTATACACTTAACATAACCTACCATGGTCAGTTTCATTTTTAAGCAATAACTCATTTCTGTTATATCCCGGCCATGGTCCGGACCATAGGGGCGTTGACCCCGGAACACCCTCCAGGGATATTCCAGGTATATTCTAAGGACTGTACTTTTTTTTAAGAATTAAATGGAGATCCCCCAATCTTGCTTAATAAGATCAGCAGCTCTCTCACCAATCATAATGGCAGGTGCGTTGAGGTTGCCAGACACTATTTGCGGCATGATGGAAGCATCCACTACACGTACTCCTGATACTCCTCGTAATCTGTGTATAAAAATTAACTTTGATCTTAGAGCTGTTGTGGTACAATAATATAACATAGTATATGACAGTGTTAGAAGACTGCAAAATGGATGTAAGATTTATATACTTGAAGGAAGACATCCACTGGAACATGGTAAAAAAAATAGTTACAATGGAGTTGAATGGTTACAATGGTTTGAGTTGCGAGACATACTCATTAAGACATTTAGGGACTTATTTTAAACTATAAGTATGTTTAAGAAATGTGTCTAGTGGGTATTTGTCTAACCTATTGTTAAAACCAGCCAGAGTATCTAATTCAGTGACACTGATGACATCTCTTCACTTGTTTACAAACTGAACCTGTGGTCTTCCCAAAATTATAACTTTCTCAGAACAGAAAGAATATCTGTATGGAAGCAGTTTCAATGCTCATGAGCTCAAATACATGACACCTACCTGAAGGATATCAAAATACTGTAGGAATGACACTAAGTGAATAGCCAGCGGCAGATTAATGAGGTAATCTAAATTAAACTTCCACAACAGCTCCAAGATTACTTTGTTTAGTTGGCTTAGAACTTTCTGACTGTGCTTTATACTCAGGTATTCAAGACAATAGTAGTAAAAAAAAAAGTGCACTTACTTGAGTGTATGATCAACAACCCCGTAAGGGTCAGAAGGTGGAGCCATCTTGCAGGTACCAGCTGGGTGGAATGTTGTCTGGGCCATGTGTCGAGTGAAGCAAGCCCAGTAACTATCAGATCCATATACTTCCTTCTCACATCCAGGCAAAACCTGAATAATCAAGTATATAACAAGACCAAGCAAGTATGTAATTGTTAATAATTAATACTTAGTAACAGTAATCAGTCACTGCTAAAGATTGGTTAAAACTGTCGAATTTACAAAATATTTTAGTTACTGATGCTATTCAGCTCTTTTGTCTGCAAAACAAAATTTGATACACTAACATTAGAGTTAAATCTATCTGACAAAAATTCAAATCAATCATTATAAAAAAAAAACATATTTCCTATTCCCTTAAGGGTTTAGTGCTATTACACAGATTTATAACAACCATCAATACAAAATCTATTAAAGTGATTAAATTAAAATGATTTTGTGATAATCGTTAATTCTCCTAAATTTCTGATGAACGATGTCACTGGAAGTCGGTGGCAGTGATAACTTACACATTCATATATAATAGAGTGCTACATGTAACTCTAATACAAAACTGAATACCAGCTTAAAATAGCATTTGTTAACGATAAAAACTATCTATCTGGTATCCTAACAAAGGCAAACTTACCTTATCGTAAAATTTGGCTTCGTGATCAATCTTCAGAGCTGACGTGTTGCCAATTGCCAGAGAAAATTTTATACCTGCAAATAATCGTAAACAATTATATTATTGTAACTGTTACTGGTTCCGGAATGTATTTAAATAAATTATGTGCTTGTACATTATTTTGCTGACATCATGATGTATGAAATGTGTACCTAACAACAAGTTATTTAAATAACAACATGTCCAAAAGTACAAGGAGAAAATCATTACACAATGTTACACATAAATGTCAACAACTTTCACAGTACTCTCTTGATCCAAGAAAGTTGAGCTTACCTCCCGCACCCTGTCCCTTCACTGGATCAAACCTAATTACCTGCTAATCTCCAGGAACATGTATAACCAATAAGGTGTCAGTGATTCACGGGAAGATAAGAATACTTTCTTTCAACACTAAAAATGGATGAAAGAAGGAAACAGGTGGCGAGGCTTCTCTGTGAGTATTGGTACCCAGCCTGGCCTTTCATGATTAAGAGTACTGGTACCCAGCCTTGGATTCCATGATTAAGAGTACTGGTACCCAGCCTGGCGTTCCATGACTAAGAGTAATGGTACCCAGCCTGGCCTTCCATGACAAAGAGTACTGGTATCCAGCCTGGCCTTCCATGACAAAGAGTACTGGTACCCAGCCTGGACTTCCATGACTAAGAGTACTGGTTCCCAGGCTGGCCTTCAGTGACTAAGAGTACTGGTTCCCGGCCTGGCCTTTCATGAGTAACAGTACTGGTACCCAGGTGGGCTTTCCATGGCTAACAGTAGTGGTACCCAGCCTGGACTTCCGTCACCAAGAGTACTGGTACCCAACCTGGCCTTCCATGACCAAGATTACTGGTACACAGGCTGGACTTCCATGACCAAGAGTACTGGTACCCAGCCTGGCCTTTCATGACTAAAAGTATTGGTACCTACCCTGGCATTCCATGACTAAGAGAACTAGTAAACAGCCTGGCCTTCCATGACTAAGATTACTGGTACACAGCTTGGCCTTCCATGACTAAGAGTACTGGTACCAAGCCAGATTTTTCACGACTAAGAGTACTGAAACCCAGCCAGGACTTCCATGAATAAGAGTACTGGTACCCAGCCTGGCATTCTAAAAATAAGAGTACTGGTAACCAGCCCAAACTTAAATGACTAAGAGTACTGGTACCCAACCTGCCCTTCCATGACTAAAAGTACTAGTACCCACCCTGGTCTTCCATGAATAAGAGTACTGGTACCCAGCCTGAGCATCCATGACTAAGATTACTGCTACCCAGTCAGGATTTCCATGACTAAGAGTACTGGTACCTAGCCTGTCCTTCCATGGCTAAGAGTAATGGTACCCAGCCTGGCCTTCCATGATAAGGAGTACTAGAATCCAGCCTGGACTTCGATGACTAAGAGTACTGGAACCAGCCTGGCCTTCCATGACAAAGAGTACTGGTGCCCAGCCTGGATTTCCATGACTAAGAGTACTCCTACCCAGCCTGGACTTCCATGACTAACAGAACTGGTACATAGCCTGGCCTTCCATGGCTAGGAGTACTGGTACCCAGCCTGGGTACTGGTACACATTGCCTTCCATGACTAAGAGTACTGGTACCCATCCTGGCCTTTCATGACTGAGAACTGGTACTCAGCCTGGCCATCCATGACTAAGAGTACTAGTACCCAGTCTGGTCTTCCATGACTAAGAGTACTGGTACCCAGCCTGGACTTCCATGACTAAGAGTACTAGTTCCCAGGCTGGCCTTCTGTGACTAAAAGTACTGGTTCCCGGCCTGGCCTTTCATGAGTAACAGTACTGGTATCCAGGTGGGCTTTCCATTACTAAGAGTACTCGTACCCAGCCTGAACTTCCATCACCAAGAGTACTGGTACCCAAGCTGGCCGTCCATGACTAAAAGCATTGGTACCCAGCCTAGACTTCCATGACTAAGAATACTGGCACCCAGTCAGGTCGTCCATGACTAAGAGTTATAGTACCTAGCCTGGCGTTCCATGACTAAGAGTACTGGTACCCGGCCTGGATTTCCATGACTAATGGTACTGGCACAAATCCTGGCCTTCCGTTAATAAGAGTACTAGTACCCAGCCTGAACTTCCAGGACCAAGAGTATTGGTATCAAGGCTGGACTTCCATGACTGAGTACTGATACCCAGCCTGGCCTTCGATGACTAAGTGTATAGGTACCCAGCCTGGACTTCCATGACCAAGATTACTGGTAACCAGGCTGGACTTCCATGACTAAAGGTACTGGTACCTAGCCTGGCATTCCATGACTAAGAGTACTAGTACCCAGCCTGGACTTCCAGGACCAAGAGTATTGGTATCAAGGCTGGACTACCATGCCTGTGAGTACTGGTACCCAGCATAGGTACCCAGCCTGGCCTTCCATGACTAAGAGTACTGGTTCCCAGCCTGGCCTTTCATGACTAAGAGTACTGGTACCCAAGCGGGATTTCCATGAATAACAGTACTGGCACCCAGTCACAGACCGGGCCGCGGGGGCGTTGATCCCCGGAACTCTCTCCAGGTAAACTCCAGGTCCAGGTAAACCAAGAGATCTGGTACCCAAGCTGGACTTCCATGACTAAGAGTACTGGTTGCCAGTCGGGACTTCCATGATCAAGATTACTGGTACCCAGGCTGGCCTTCCATGCCTAAAAGTATTGGAACCCACCTGGCATTCCATGACTAAGAGAACTGGTAAACAGCCTTGCCTTTCATGACTAAGACTACTGGTACACAGCTTGGCCTTCCATGACTAAGAGTACTGGTACCCAGCCAGGTTTTTCATGACCAAGAGTACTGAATCCCAGCCAGAACTTCCATGAATAAGAGTACTGGTACCCAAACTAGCCTTCCATAAATAAGAGTACTGGTACCCAGCTCAAACTCAAACGACTAAGAGTACTGGTACCCAGCCTGACATTCCACGATTAAGAGTACTGGTACCCAACCTGCCCTTCCATGACTAAAAGTACTGGTACTTACCCTGGTCTTCCATGGCTAAGAGTACTGGTACCCATCCTGGCCTTCCATGACTAAGAGTACTGGTACCCAGCCTGACCTTCCATGACTAAGAGTTCCATTACGCAGCCAGGACTTCCATGACTAAGAGTACTGGAAGGCAGCCTTGTCTTCCATGACTAAGAGTTCTGTTACCCAGCCTGGACTTCCATGACTAAGAGTACTGGTACCATGGTTGGCATTCCATGACTAAGAGTACTGGTACCCAGCCTAGACTTTGATGACTAAGGGTACTGGTAACTAGCCTGGACTTCCATGACTAAGAGTACTGGTACCCAGCCTGGACTTCCATGACTAAGAGTACAGGCACCCTGCCTGGCCTTCCATAGCTAAGAGTACTGGCACCCAGCCTGCACTTTAATGACTAAGATTACAGGTACACATTGCCTTCCGTGATTAAAAGTACTGGTACCCAGCCTGGCTTACCTTGACTAAGAGCACTAACACCCAGCATGGCCTTCCATGACTAGGAGTACTGGTACCCTGCCTGGCCTTCCATGACTTAGGGTTCTGGTACCCAGCCTAGCATTCCATTAATAAGAGTACTGGTACACAGCTTGGACTTCCAGTATCAAGAATATTGGTATAAAGGCTGTACTACGATGACTATGGGTACTGCTACCCAGCCTGGCCTTCCATGATTAAGATTACAGGTACCCAGCATGGCCTTCCGTGACTAAGATTGCTGGTACCCGGCCTGGCCTTTCATGACTAAGAGTACTGGTAGCCTGCATAGACTTCCATCCCAAAGAGTACTGGTACCTAGGCTGGCCTTCCATGACTAACCGTCCTGGTACCCAACCTGGACTTCCATGACCAAAGATTACAGGTATCCAGGCTGGTCTTCCATGAATAAGAGTACTGGTACCCAGCCTGGACTTCCATGACTAAAAGTATTGGTACCCACCCTGGCCTTTCATTACTAAGAGAACTGGTACACATCCTGGCCTTCCATGACTAAGAGTACTGGTACCCCGCCTGGCCTTCCATGACAAACAGAACTGGAACCCAGCCTGACCTTTCATGAATAAGAGTACTAGTACCCAGCCTGGACATCCATGACTAGGAGCACTCTTATCAAGCCTTTACTCTAATGACAGAGTTTTGGTATCCAGCCTCTGTTTCCATGACTAGGAGTACTGGTACTCAGCCTGGACTTCCATGATTAAGAGTACTAGTACCCAGCGTGGATTTTCATGACTATGAGTACTAGTACAAAGCTTGGCTTTCCATGACTAAGAGTACTGGTACCCAGCCTGGCATTCTATGACTAAGAGTTCAGGTACAAAGCCTGTACACCCATGACTTAGAGTACTGGTACCCAGCCTTGCCCTCCATTACTAGGATTTCTGGTGCCCAGCCTGGACTTCCATGACTAAGAGTACTGGTACCCAGCCTGGACGTCAATGACCAAGAGTTCATGCACCCAGCATGGACTTCCATGACGGAGAGTACTGTTATCCAGCCTGGACTTCCGTGACTAAGATTACTGGTACCCAGGATGGACTTCCATGACTAAGAGTTCTGTTACCCAGCCTGGACTTCCATGAATAAAAGTACTAGAGTTCAGCAAGGCCTTCTATGACTAAGAGTTCTGGTACCTAGCCTGTACTTCCATCACTAAGAGAACTGGTGCCCAGGTTGAACGTCCAAGACTTGGAGTAAAAGTACCCAGCCTGAATTTACATGATTAAAAGTTCTGGTACCAAGCAGTACTTCCAGGACTAAGAGTACTGGTACCCAGCCTGACCCTCCATGACTACGATTTCTGGTACCCGGCCTGGACTTAAACGACTTAAAGTACTAGTACCCAGCCTGGACTTCCATGACTATGAGTATGGAGATCCAGCCTGGACTTTAATGATCAAGATTTCCGTGACTATGAGCTCTGGTACCCATCCTGGAATTCCATGACTAAGAGTACTGGTACCCTGACTCGCTCCTGTCTGTTTCAGCTACCAGATCACTACGACAAGGTCCGAGATGCACTAGAAGACAAAAAGAATGCAGATGTAATAT